CAACATTTTTTTGTTTTTTTAGCAGAAACAATACACGGATTGTTTCTGTGATGTGACAGAAACTATCACTCATTTTGAGTGATTGTTATATCTCAACTTTTAGTTGTGATTGTTGAGATAGTTGAGTTGAGATTGTTTTGTCTCAGCTTTTAGCTGACGCGACATACACAATCACACATACCAAACATTGTATTCTACAATGCATCAAATTCAACAATACATGTATAATATTATACATGCATTCTCAACAATACATCTATTTAACAATCGAACTTCCAAACAACCCCTTAAATTAAACATTTTATATCAAATTCAAATATATTGAGTTCTTTTATACGAATTACTTGTTATGTCAAATAAAAAATAATTGAATCAAGTTTTAGTACAAAGTGTACAAGTCTATCACAGATAAGGAAAGAGATTACACTATCCAAACTCCAGCATAACCTTTCCCTTTCTCTATACAAAGAGGTTCAAAAAATTTAAACCCATCATCGTCCTCTTACTACTCTCAAAATTGCCATACTCTCACTACTCTCAAAATCGCCCTACTCGAATAAGTACGGGTAGGTGATTTATCAATCCGCAATCCACCCACATCAATTACCCACCAATTGCAATTTGAATTATTTGCGGGTGATTTATGTCAAATTGTGGATTAACCACTCATGTGCCTGTCCCTAGTGTTCATCGCTAATTCATGGAACGAATTGATATTGTATGCATGTGAGGGTGAGTAGTAATTTTGGTAAGGGTTTCGAGGACACGAAGAAAGGAATGCCCAATTTATTGATTGAGATACAAAACAGGGGTGTCTATGATTTTATAAAACTCAAGTTTTATCAAAACCTTCATTTTTCAAATTTACATACTAAACAACTCGTAAATGGGCCCACAATCCCAAAGCAAATTCTCGTAAGCCCATAATTAAAACAATCAGCCCAAATTTAAAAGTGAAATTGGATAAGAGAACATACAAATACCCACGCATAATAATTTATTTTATGAACCGAGACCTACAAGCTTAAGTTCAATTATTATTAAGTCTTAAAGCTCAAAATGACAAAAATATTTTAAAAAAAAACTAAAACTAAAAATGGCCGCAACCTAATTGCTCTCTTAGGCAACAGTAACGGGTATTTTCCTTAATATATACTAGGTTGCGATACCACACCTTGTCGCAGGCAGTGATGGCATATGAACATGTATTATGTGTTCCGTTATGGTGTTTTGTTAGTATTATTAGGCTAAATTTTATTTTTTGTTAGTATTATTATGCTAAAATTAATTTTTTGTTAGCAGTTTTGTTAATAATGTTGACATGACAATATGATATTGACTGAAAAGAAATATATGGCGGTCAACATCCAATTTAAATTTTTTTTTTTTGAAATTTTTGGCTAGTAAATGATATTTACTAAAACCCAAGTAGACCCATTGATTATGAGTAGGGCATGGGTAAAGTATATATGGGTTTGAAAGTTTGTAGATGGGTTTGGGTAGGTATGAATATTTACATCCATAATCTCAATGTGTTGAGTTGGGTATGGATACCCAATTATTCGAGGATGTTTTAACTACACATACAAAAATTAGACCTATTTGTAGAACTTCAAAAGTTTATGTACCAAAATGTAATACACAAAAATTTTAGGTACTAAAATATAATGTTCCATCAATATTTTGAGGACTTATATGCCAAAAAAATTAGGTTATAAATCTAAAGATCTATTAAGTTTAGGTATTGAACTGTAATTTTGAGGCTTAATTCCTTTTATGGTGATGTATTTAAGATAATAATTATTTACCTTTTTCTAGAAAAATGAAAACTATTTATTTGATATGTATAGATACCTAGCCAACATTCCATGTATATATAATTGTTGAAAATTTTAGCTAGGGTGAAAAAGAAAAACTCTAGAGAGAAGCAAAAGGAATACAAACAGGAACTCGCTTAAAATTTCACACCCTCAAATTGCATAGTGGAAAATGACGACTTTCTAATAAGTAATAACCATATATATTTATTTTTAATTGGACTCGACATTGAACTAAAAAATTTAGTTGTTCATGGTTCAATTATTAATTCTCTAGACTGTTGGTGAGTCGTGTATGGACTCGTTCATACTTGTGATTAAAATACATAAAATAGTATTCTAATTAGGGTTAGACGAGGAAGGCAAAGAAATAAATAAAGAAGGGGTTATGGAAGGAGAGTGAAAAATGAAACGAAAAGGAAGTAGATAATGGAACTGTTTTGACCAATTCTTTTAGTTGGCCGTCAATACAATAGTCAACCCTTTTCACGGTAGCGATTTATTGATACTTGCTTATAGATGTCGCATATTTTGTTACATGCAGTTAGTAGAAGTTTATTTAGTACCCCGTAAATGTATTAAATGAGTTTATAAATTCGCTCTTGCAATATTTTAGAGTCGTCTCTCTTTTATCATTTATTTAATGTTTCACGTAATGAACAAGTATAAAATAGTCGAATCTTCTCCTACAGTTGAATGATACCTCTTGTATTGTACAAACTAAATATGTTATGGTGGATTGATTCAAAAGGATTGGTGGATTGGATTCAAGTGTAATCTAAACATTGGATCAATATGTAAATTTAAAAACGTGTAGGTACGAAAATCTCATATAATTTAGATACCAAAACATAATTGTTCAATGATTTTACATTAAATTATTTTTGGGGTATCAAAATGTAAAATTTACATTATAGTGACTAAGTTGTGATTTATTAAATTTGGGGTATCAAAATGCAAATTGAACTTTACGTTTACATATAATATTATTTAGATACCAAAATATAATTGTTCAATGATTTTACATTAACATTAATTTTGGGGTATCAAAATGTAAATTTAAAAACGTGTAGGTACGAAAATCTCATATAATTTAGATACCAAAACATAATTGTTCAATGATTTTATATTAAAATTAATTTTGGGTATCAAAATGTAAAATGTACATTATAGTGACTAAGTTGTGATTTAATTAAATTTGGGGTATCAAAATGCAAATTGAACTTTACGTTTACATATAATATAATTTAGATACCAAAATATAATTGTTAAATGATTTTATATTAACATTAAATTTGGGATATCAAAATGTAAAATGTACATTATAGTGACTAAGTTGTGATTTAATTAAATTTGGAGTATCAAAATGCAAATTATTATGCAACAGTAACTGATCTTTACGTTTATATATATAGTAATTAATTGATGAGTATCAACTTCTAGTTAGTAACCCGTGACACTATTGGGGTTAGTTGATTTCGTCTTTTTTACACTCAATAACTCATTGTGTCATTGTTCTTTCCACAATCCTAAGGGTAGTATCCTTAGAGCTGTGAAAATAGACCAGATCGTTTGAAAAACTATGGTCCAAATCGACTGCACAGTTTGGTCTAGACCGTAGACCGTTAAATATGGCTTGGTCCATGGTCTGTATTATATGATATTTCGATTTCTTGGTCCGGTCAGGTCTAGACCGCGGTTTCCCGGACCAAACCGTTGGCTCAACCGACTTATCAATACGTGCTAGCATCCCATTCAACCACTCTCCAAACGCCCACAACGATATCTAAGTCTTAATCTTAATTTTGAGAATCACGTCTCCTCCTTCATTCTTAACCACATTTCACCAGAGAGTAGAGACAATCGTGTCTTTTTGCAAAAAAAAAAAAAAAAAGGGAATGGCTGTTTCATTCATACGAAACACGGTGTATAGAGTTTTTACAACACTGAAAGGAAGGAAAAGACCAAACGAAAATAAGATTGAAAACTAATGGAGGCCCACCAAGGCCCAAAAAACCTTGGTCCAGAAACAACATGGACAGCCCACCCCTAGTAACCCTATTTCGTTGCCCAAACACCATGAGGACGGTTGCTGCTTGCATCCCCCTCCGCCGAAACCAGCCGCCTTCACCCTCATTCCTTCTCAAAGAAACTCGTTAGGGAACGATGGTGAAGCCAAAAACAACTCAAGGCAACGGCAACAGCCCCAGACCGATGACGCACCGAAAAGAGGAAGGAAAGCAGAGCCATCGGCGAGGAGAACCAGTCCCAAAGACGACTCCGAGCTCCACCTGCACAACAAGTAAAACTAGAGAGCCAATCTCGGTCCAAGGACAGATGAATGGTGTCAAAACACCACAATCTGAGCAAACAACTAGATCACGTCCTCATAAGTGCATCCCTGCTCACAAGCTCCCTGAAACTTCATCCAAGACAACGAAGGTCCCTTCTTCTCCGAATAATCCCCATTTATGGATGAAGCAAGTGGAGGAGGATGAAGGATAAGAGAGGAGCAAACGAACCGACGAGAATCGGACCCCTCAACCACCTACCAGAAAACATCCGCACAGATCTGGGATATGGTGGGGAGCAAAAGCATCTCCACGGGGAGGCAAGAGCAACATCATCACAAGGATAGAGAAGAAAACAAACGAAAAGGATAAAAGGAAGCCCAACTATAGGCGAGAAACGGAATATAAAAGGAGCCGGAAAAAGACGGCAGAAAAAAGGCGCCAGGGCCACCGCCGGTCCCAAAAAGGAAGCCGGCGGTAGCCCCTTCCAGATCTGAAATTTGAACGCTAGTGAGAAGGGAAAAGGTTAGACAATCGTGTCTCCATATCACATTATGTTAATGTTTATGACATTATGGTGCATGTTGGGATGTTTTGAGTTTGTATCTTTATTATTTACTGAGATTTATGGTGTCAAAGATATTCATGCATGTTGACATTTATGTTTTAAGGGGAAAAAAAAAAGAATTCTTTTCTTGGCTATGGGTTTAATTTTTTCGTGGTTGACTAATCAAATTGTTTATTTTTCATTCAATGTGGTCTATCTAGACCAGACCGTACAGGCGTGGTCTTATGTGAACTGTATAGTCTCTGGTCTGGTCTGTGGTCTATACTCCAGCCTCTCGGTCTAGACCGTAGACCGTATATATGATCCGGTCTGGACTAGACCGCACCGTTTTCCAGACCTAAGTATCCTAAAACAATCATCAATTGTTAATCAAATTTATTAGACCACATCGAGGATCACTTCAATATTATAAACCCCTTAGTTTTCACTTCTACACTTGGGTTGAGGTTTTTTTTTTTTTTTTGCAAAGTACATATGTATAGCCAAAACATTCATATTCGTAACAATAATAGTTACTTTTCAAAAAATACATACAATAGTCATTTCCGTTTCATTCTTTGACGGTGTCAGTTAACATGTTGTCTGGACTATTGCTACAAGTCACATCATTTGCATAGCACCTCTGGAACAATGTTACATTATATTGTTCCATCATCTTTTTTTTAATAGGAACATTATATTGTTCCATTATCATTAAAAGTAAATGAAATTATTGTCATCCCATTTTCAATTATATTCAATCGTTTAGAAAGAGTTGCACTGTTTTCATGACCGAAAATTGTGCAATATGTAAAATCTAATTTTGAATCATCATCATATCAATTAAAGTTGCAAAATTACAAACGGACTTACAAGCTACTAATAATGAGAATACTTCTAAAACAAGGGGCACAACCTGTTTAACTAAATCCATTTGAAAATGAAAAAAATAAAAGAACAAAAAAGGCAAATCCACATACTAAATCATATGTTAAACAAAAGCAAAACAGATTTCACAACGAAATAACATGCAAACAAATCACACTTCAATGTTCACCTTCAATCCTTGTTTCCCCTACAATCCCTCTCATCCATACCTCTTTTCACATTCAATGTTCTCTTCTCCTCCTCCTCCCCCCATCAAATAATCACAAAGAGAAAGAAACAATTTTGAGAAGGAAAAAGGAAAGTAAGACACAAGAAGAAGCCTTTCCTTTTTCTTTCTCCCTCCCCCCACCAAGAAACCTCACCATGGCAACTAGTAATTCCCCCTTCCTCTCCGTCATCATCTTCCTCTCCATCCCTCTCCTCTCCCATTCCCAACCACAACTCTCCCTCGACTACTACAAAACCACGTGCCCCGATTTCGCCAATATCGTAACCGAGACGGTCACCACGAAACAGATCGCCACCCCAACGACGGCGGCGGCCACCCTCCGCATCTTCTTCCACGATTGCATGGTCGATGGATGCGACGCCTCGGTGCTCATCGCCCCCAACAAGTTCAACAAGGTGGAGCGTGACAATGAGCTCGACCATACCCTGCCGGGTGACGGATTCGACGTCGTCACCCGGACCAAGACGGCTCTGGAGCTGGCATGCCCCGAGACCGTCTCGTGTGCCGACATCCTGGCCCAGGTCGCGCGCGACCTGGTCGTGATGGTTGGAGGGCCCAACTACCCCGTTTTGTTGGGCCGTAAGGACAGCCTGGCCTCGCAGCTCAACGACGTGGAGCCCAACCTCCCCCAGCCCAACATGACTATGGACCACATCATCAACCTCTTCGAGTCCAAGGGGTTCACGGTTCACGAGATGGTGGCCGTGGTTGGGGCCCACACCCTCGGGTTCGCCCATTGCTCGGAGTTCGCCGACCGGCTCTACCACTACGACAAGAGCACCCCCACGGACCCGGACATGAACCCGAAATACGCGGAGGCGCTCAGAAAGTTGTGCTCCAATTACACCAAGGACCCAACCATGTCGGCGTTCTTGGATTTGTACACTCCGGGGAAGTTCGACAACATGTATTACCAGAACTTGCTCAAGGGGTTGGGACTCCTGTCCACGGATCAAATGATGGCCGAGGATCCCAGGACGAGGCTGTTTGTGGAGCGGTACGCCGCGAACCAGACCGCCTTCTTCGAGGATTTCGCCGAGGGAATGCAGAAACTGGGGACGATCGATGTTAAGACTGGGGATGAGGGAAACGTCAGGAGGAGGTGTGACGTGTTTAACACGGTCAGGACTTAATTGCCCTAAACAGGGATTCCAGATTGGAGCACAAGTTGTGTGCTTTGATTGAGCAAGCAAGGACCTTACACTTTTAGAAAAACTTGGGAACAGTGAACTGATGTAAAGTTTCATTTGATGTTATCTGTAAGTACTTTGGTTAAAATGTATTCTGTAACATCGTTACATGCAAAAACTAGTTTCACTGTTACGACTTACGATCCAAAAAGGAAACGGCAGACAAACATTTCATTAATTTGTAATCACAATGGCATTGGCATAGGTAGAGAGAAAAACACATGCTAGAAGTTATCATTTTTCAGGCACCAGCAGAAAATCACAAGCCATTTCCCAGATGAGCTGCTGGTGCCTGGCTGGCTACTGTGCAAGGCCTGGCTGAACATAGAGACGCTGAGAATCATTTGAAACATATGATGGTGAAGGTCTCACGATCACAGTGCTACTTCCAGGTTTCACATAAACAGATTCAGAAAGATTTGATGACATACCCCTGAGTGAACTTCCGTTCTGACCTGTCGTCGAGTTGAAGCTAATCAGTGGCTCCTTGAGGGGAGCAAAACAGAAAGAATCAATCCATGGAAGAGACTAATAGTAGATGAGATTGGTATGACCCTGCAGGGACTCGAGGTATAAGTTGGAGAGCTGCAGTTGAATTCTTCTCTTCTTCAGTCTCTCCTTCTTGTGAGCATTCTGGTGACCCCCTAATGCTCGAGAGTTTTTGAACTCCTTGAAGCAAAACTGGCATTCGAGCTTCTTTCTTCAGTCTCTTCCTTCTTCTGCGTCTTTTAGAATAGTAGGTAAGACTTCATAGCTTGCAGATTCCCCACTCTCAGCTCCTTCATTAGAGCCCTTGAGCTGTTTCTCATCCTTAATTTGAGGATTCACCTCAAAGCCAAATAGCTTCAACAGCTTCACCTCCATAAGCAATCTTAAACTACAAGCAACTAACTAGATCCCAAAAAAAAAACAAAGATGGTAGCATCACTACACTGTGTTTAGTCTTTACAATACAATCCAACTGATGTTCTGTTATATCTCCACTGACAAAATCATTCTATGCCATAAATAGATAACAGACTTGGATCACATGACGCAAATCACGGCTGTAAAAAACAAAACTTGGTGCTTGAACAGCATAAAGTCATGGAAGAAGACACCCAAAAGGCAAAGAGAGAATACAAAACGATTATTCAGGAATTGGCTGTTAGGAAACTTGTATATAATACTAAGGATCATATCACTGCACTAAGTATGCATTAATCTTTCCACATCAAGGAGACTCAGTTTCAATCTTCTACTTGAAACAGGACAAAAAATCGAAGTCCACAAAACCCTCCAAGCCATTACTGTTTCGAATGTTTCCGGACAACCTGAGCAAATTGATGAGCATACACACAGCTCAAGGAGATATGTCCTATACAAATTTGAGGTGATCCTGGAAGTCAAATTGGTGCGGACATTCTAGCTGGGATGCCACTAAGCTGAAAACAATTTTCACTAAACAGTGCCACCATCAGCTACTATGGCCATTTTCCAGTATCAAATGCTTGTTTCATGATACCTTTTTGTAACAGTTCCTAAAGCTTCATGTGCTGAAGATACCTATTAGTTGCTCAACTAAGAAATAACAAAGTGGAAGGTGATGATAACATATCTGCTATCAAAAGGGACATCAACAAGATCTGTGTGTATCCCTATACACATTTTTTTGCACAAAGCTAATATTGTATTCCCATGAGCATATATCTATTAGCATAGCACAATCAACCTTAGTGGTTTTGTAGGGCTCTTGGATGATGATATCATACAATATTCGCTACATTATATAAATGGAATGTGAGTTATCTAATTCCCTTTTATACCCATCTTTACAGTCTTACCTCAAACATCAAATAGTCCTTGGTTTTCCTGTACTAAACAATGTTTCCTTTCTGAAAGTCTATGTGAACAATGTTATGTTGGATCCAAGCAATGAAGAATATAGAATCAGCAAGATCCTATCTTACCCTAACCGAAACTTGGCTTGATATTCTATATTTCTACGTGTACTCCCACTGTCTTATTCTAAATGTTTTGGCCAGAAAAGTCTTTAATCTAGAAAGTAATCGGAATATTTCAACAGGTAATGTACACTGGATGGATTACTCACCCTATCCGGCAATGAAACAAGAGGAAGTCATATTATATGGAAAATTCAACGATCTCACTTGTCAGCTGCGGCTACAGTGAATTGCAATAAGTTAATAGAGGGCATGAGCCATCATTCAATTCCTTCTTCTTGTGATTGCTCCCTTTCTTGGTACATCTTTGACAAAGCTTACCGTGTGTGTATAGAAGACAATTCAGATCGAATTTGAGCTCATCAGGGATCCTATGATTAAGATGAACATACGTCTTATTCCGGTCTGCCTCACCTGGTACCCAGCCAATGGCCTTTGCAATCTCAAACACCTAAGTACAGAATTTATGAATGGGTAGAAACACCAATCAGAAAAGTTGCTGTAAACAACTTGATTAATATTGAAGTATCCAGCAATGGAACTCACATGTGTGTCCACTGGGAAGTCATCGTGCTGAAGATTAAACATTAGAACACAAGCTACCTGCCATTTTGTTCACACTCACATAAACTTCCCAAGTAACAAGTAGAGCCACATATACTTACATGAGACTGGAACATCTAGCAAGGTAAAGGACTGACAAACAAGAGGCATATATTCTGATCAAAAGAAAAAGGGGCATACAGCCAATGATCGAAATGAGAAAAGGTAATATGATGAAGAAAGTAAATGAGGGAAACATGATAAATTCTTGGATAAGGTAAAGTTTCAAAAACCTATGTTGATGATGTCAATCCGAAGTTTGTATCGGCTAGCTACTTCCATGTACTTCTTTGAAAACAGGAAAACCGAAGTGGCATTTATAGCCAGTAGTACTAGTGCAAGCAATAAACTAAACTTCACTACTGCAATCATTAAGCAATCGTAACCTGTTTCTTAGGAGGCACCCAGAATTAAAGGAATCAAGATTAATACTCTTTTCCCTGGCAATGAATGGACAACAGGTTCAAGTTCGTTCTGGTCTTCTGGACCCGCCTCGGGTGTAAGAAATATCACTATTAAGAAGAACCTTTATTGGACAAATTGATTGCAAAGAACTTAAATTTGCAGGGCAATTCTAAGCAGCTCAGAACTTCATTGTTTTCTAAAATGAGATCTTAAATCTTATCCTGGACTTAATGTTCCACATGGATGGGCAATGGCCATCAATCAAATTATTACTAGTACTTAATCGCCACTTGGACAATTCCATTCTTGAAGATCCAACCCCATAACATTCCATAAGGCAACTGTACACTAAGAAACTTACAGTTTTGGGGCCAATTCCTTTAAAAAGGGAGAGCTCAGCTTTAACTTCGTCAACTGATAGATTCCGCAAATATTCCAAGCACAATTTGCCCTTTCTCTCCTGCAAACAGCTCAGTAAGTTCATAATGCAGGAAGTCTTCCTTGGGGCTAGACCTCCACACCTTATAGAATTCTCCACGGACTTTGGTTCAGCAGCAAGCACCTTTCACATTACAAAGATAAACACCAAACCCCCACATTAAACATGAACATACCATTTACAGGAAAGATGAAAACTTTCTGTCCAGTTTCCAGCACCAGCAAAGGAAACAACCAAATACAGGTAACAAGAACGAGAAAGGGCTTACATCTTCCCAGGAGGGGAAAGCAGATTTGAGATTGGAGAATGCTCTTAGAGAATTAACCTCAGTAGTATTCTGAGAGAGCACCATTTTCACCAGACCATCCAAAACGCTCTCTTCCACTTCCTCACTGTCCAACGATGCAACCGATTTTTCCAAGCTGTTTATGGACTTGTCGTCATCGTCATCGTCATCTGGGCGCAGACTTGGTCTCCCCCGACGATACTTGGTGAACTCCGGGGGGAAGCCATGGTGAGCAAGGAGAGAGTCTCGAATGGCGCGGCAATCTCCAGGGGTGGGCCGAAGGTGAGTCGGGTATGGCTCTTGTTGCTCCTTGGTGAGTTTCGACGATTTGGGTTCACTTTGGGGCTTCAACTGCTTTGGCGGTTGCTTTCTCTTGCGGGGGTTCTGCATTCTGGCTTCGGGATTCTCCGGCGATGAGATTGATGGTTCCGAAACTGAGAGTCGCCAGGGGTTTCCCGGTTGCCAAAGCCGGCGTCTTAAGATAAATTGTAACTCTTAGGGGTTTGAACTTTGAACTATGTTGTGAGAAACGAACCAGAGCATTATTCGGTAATGCGAACGGCTTGCACTTTAGTGGTTCAACCGATATTGGATCGTTTAAAAATCGTTAGAGAACCGATACCTAATAAACGTTATCAGTATAAATAATGGACATTTCTTAATCAGAGCTCGTCTCTTTCCTTCGAAATTGTGAAATGGAAATAAAGATTCAGTTTGAGAGCCCGACGTTTTTGGTTTATTTCAATTTTCAATTTTCTGCAATTTTTTTAATTAAATTTAATGGCTGAATGGCAAAAAACCGGACGAGCGGCTCGATCGGCTCGAGCAGTTAACCGCCTCGACCGCTCGTCAACCGCTACATAAAACCAGAGCGACTATTAGACTTCCGAGCCGGTTTTATTGGTCGGGCCGAGCGGCTCGGCTTTAATAACACACTTTGAAGGATTGTTAGTTGTTTGAGCCTGAATGACCCTACTTCCGTGACACGTCACTCCACTCCGCACTCGAGCGCCTTGTCTGCACACCACACACATAGAGGTGGGCGTCTAGCCCGTAAGTCCTCCGACGCTAAAGTTAGTAAAATATCTTTTAGAGAGAGGAGTAGTCCCTCCCGGTTTTCTAGTGTGAGAAGCTCCCCTTAAATGTTACCTACCAGCACTATTTATACTTACACAACCTGGGACCATGCTCTTACCTCTCTGCTCCACGTCAGCACGCCATTAAATGCATCGTACTTTGTTTAGGGTAGGCGCCTCGACCAACTTGTCAGACTTCTGACAAGCTGTAGGCGCCTCCCTTTAGGGACCACTGTCAATCTGTACTTTCTTGTTGCGTGTCAGAACCACTTCAATCCTGTTTGGGTCCGGTCCATCGGGCTTCTCCAACAGCTATCTTCGACCCTGAACGTTATTTGGGCTCGTAGCCCTTCCTGGGCTTGGACTTGGGCTTCCCTCCTAAGTCATACCTCCAACAATTGCCCCCCAGTTAGGTGCTCAAGGCCCTTTTTGAGCGCCTAACTACGTCTTTCGATGTTTACCATACCAACCGGGGTGCCTTTAGGAAGCTTCCCCCTTTCATCATAACAATCGTGATCTTTTGGGAAATCTGTGTCGTGGCGCTCATGAGCGTGTGTGCTCGTAAGGCTTCTCATTTCACCCCAGGCGCCTAGACCCTTTGGTGGCTCTTTTTACAAGCTAACCCATCGATTAGAGCGCCCATAAATTGTCCCCCACTTTCCCTAGCATATCACACGTTTTTCGTTTCCCAAACAGGCGCTTAGTACTCTGAACGCCTTATAACTTTTCCTCTTGATCTGTGGTGTTTGAAGCCCAAGCCCGTTGCATTTTTTTCCTCCATAACAGGAGCCTCGATCTTTTGGACGCCTTAGACCTTCCAGGCGCCTGGCCTCGATATCTAGACGCACCCCCCTCAAACTTCAAAATTTGAATTTCTTGAAAATTTTGAATTTTGAATTTATGGCGACACGTGGCAATTTGCATGCCTTCCGAGATGCGATCCCACTCTCCGCACGGAACTCGAGGCGCACTCTCCTCTTTTTTTTTATAAATGCTACTCGTCCCCTCTCATTCGACTCACTTCCCTCCCAATCTCACTTTTGCTCTGCCTTCTCTCTACCTTCTCTCTACCAGCCGCCGCCAACCCTCGTTCGTCCATCTGCATCTCTTCCACGATGTCGACTCCCCAAGATCAGGCTCCCCCCGCGAGCTCAGTCCCAACGGCAGGCGCCCAAAGAAACTCTTGTAAGCGCCTTTTTCGAAACTTTTGTATTAACTTCCGCCTTCTTTCTACTCTTCAACGCCCGCTAAGGTGAGGACGCCCTTTTCAATTTTTGCTTTAGAGAGGACGCCTCAATCAGTCACGCCCTCCACCTTGGCGCCCGGTTTCATGCCCACGGACGGGTCGTACAAGATTACTACGTGGGAAAATATCTTCCCACCGGACTATGCGCCTGTTGATGATACTTCGGAGATCCCATTTAACATGGTTGGTCCTAAGCACCGATCCACCATCCGCTTGAATTACTTTTCTTTCTTATTCGCCACTAACTTTATGAATCATTTCACCGTTAGTCATCATCTGTTACACTCCGTTAAATTTGTCTTACGTGGCAGTCGACTATAAAGTTTGACAGTTAACTAAATGACGTGTAAATTAAAAAATAAATTTATTTTTCCACCACATCATTCCACTTACTTTATCTTCATTATTTATCATATTAATTATTTAATAAAAATTAATTAAATAATAAAAATTACTTATCAATTGGGCCTTCAAATCCAACCCCACATCATCCAATTCCCCTCTGCCGAGGTAGGGCTGCCGGAAGGTTGCGAGAACGTCCATGCCATCAGGTCCCCGACCTCATTATCCCGTTCTTCAAGTCTATGGTTGTCTACCAACGACCCTTTAAGAATCTCCTCCAGAAATGGCAGCCGAAGTCACTGATGTGGTCTTCTCCTTGGCTACAGAAATCGCCGGCAAACTCTGCAATCAGAGGCCCTCTTCAATGGAGTGGCTTGAATTTGAGGTGTATTTTCCCCATGACAAGCTTTGTTGCAAGTCAGTAAATAATACGATGATCTGCATTTTCGCCATATTCTTTATTTGCCTAAACTTCTTTCTTATAGTTTTATGTGAATCATGCATGCTGCTCTTGGTTTTTTGCTTTTGTATTATGTACTCTGTTTCCATGTGGGGACATGTGGCTTCAATGCGAGGCAGTACGATGTTGATTGATCACATTTGGCTTGCCCATGCTCTTCAACAATGACTTATATATTATCATCTCCCTCATAAAATTTTGTTTCTCTTGTAATCAGTTCTCTTGCTTTTCTCCTTGGGCATTCTAGAAATTGACAATCGTGCTTCAAAGAAGTCAAAGCACAAAGACAGAGGAAGCAGAGTTCAGAGGTGGGAAGAAGATCAAGAACAAGAAGAGTAGCAAGAAATGGAGCTTAACCCAAGATCTAAGGCAACGATTTCTATGTTTTCCGAACTTATTTGAGAGTAGTGAATGCTTGCAATTATTTCTTGCTTTCTAGTGTCCCTTTGTAGCTTCGCTCTACGTTTTCAATATTCATCGTTGTTTTAATGTTTTATTTGGTTGTCCAAGATCGATGATCTGTAAAGATGCTAATTTGGAAAAATAAAATAACTGGATTGGTTTTTTTTCCTTCTCATAGAGCAACAAAAAGAGAGCAGGGAATCAGTCGGGGTTGCTCTGCAGCAAGCTCGTCATCTAAGAGTTGCGAAAATCAGCGATCATGGACGCCATCGAAACGACGAGATTTGTGTAAATTCGATGACCTGAAAATTAATATACAAAATTGTAAATACAAACAAAATTTTTTTGAAAGAAAGACGTATTGAGATTTGAGTAGGGAGAGCCGAGTCAAGTTTTAGCACACTTTGAGCTCGACTCATTAATAAACGAGTTGAGTTCGAGCTCGGCTCGTTTATTAACGAGTTGAGTTCGAGCTCGGCTCGTTTATTAACGAGTCGAGTTCGAGCTAGCTTGCTTAAGAAAATATTGACTAGTACTTGATATATTCATTTTGTATATTATACATGATACATGTGATTAATGTCAAGATGAAAAAAATTAATGATAGTTAAGTGTTCAATATTAACTAATCTCATGTTATACTTTGTGGTATCGAATTCTTTAGTTAGTAAATTTTAACTAGGGAAACTTATGTTATTTTATAGTATCGAGGCAATCTATGATACATAATTTCTTTTTAAAATTGAATAAGATATATTTGCTCAAATAATCTACGTGTTAAACTTCATATATGGTGAGATATATAATTTAAAAATCCTATGAATTGTCAAAATCAAACTCATATAAATCAATTCACTCATAACTCGGTAATCGAGTTGGCTCTATAGCCACAATGTTGAGAGTTGAGACATCTCATGAGCTCTAAGCGAGCCAACTCACGAGTTGAGCTCAACAAGTCACCGAATCGAGCTAGCTCGCGAGCACCGCGAGCTGCAAAAGGCTAAGCTCAAACTCCACTCATTAATAAACGAGTCGAGTTTCGAATGAATTTTTTTTTTGAATCAAATGCCGAACCGCTCACGAGCAACTCGACTCATTTGCAGCCCTAAATTTGAGCATATAGAATTATAATCTTGCAATATCACTAAACTGTCTACAAGGCTCAGATGGTGAGTTTTGTAAAATATTGGGGCTTTAAATGTCATTCTTCTCTCTTGCGAGAAAATACTTCCCTGACCTTCTCTTCAAGAAATCCCGTTTACATTCCAGTATCGTGAATCGCCGGCGCTTAAGCAATCCACTGGTTTTACATTCCAGTATTGCTAATTTTCCGTCATCACACTTGAGCAACCCACTGCTTTCCGCCGCCTCGCGAATCCCCGGCGCTGTTACCTAATTACTCTTCCCCGCCGCCGCTTTGCGATCTAGAAGAATTCGAAGGTATGTCTCGTTAAGATGATTTTTGCCTCTTTTTTGTGTTCTCTGCAGTGCATTTATCCGAATTGTGTTTGTTGGATTTGGAAGTCTTATTAAGCTTTCCGAGATCCGTCCCCGATACTCACAGACCACAGTGTTTATTGGATGTTTGTGGGAATTTCTTGGGCTCGGTCGAAATTTGGATATTCTAGGGTTTCAGATCGATGCTGTCGCCTTTCGCTTATCGGTAAAGATTTCATGCGCGACTTTTCCTTGTCTTGGAGGTCTCTGAGAATTCTCGTTCAGGGTTGCTATGCCCGAGCAAAAAAAACTTTGTTCTTTTTCCGCATTGGCGATGAGCTGCATCTGCTGTTTCTGAATTCAGTGCTTCTGTTAACTTGTTAAGATCAACTACCTTGACCCGCCCTTGTTCCATGCCCTTATAGTTGACCTGCTTTAACTTTCGTGATAGCTTTGGTTTGAGTTGACTGCTTAGTGTACAACCATTTTCTTGAACTTAAGGAGTTACACTTACCCTACTTCTTCCTATTATCTGCCAGTTGTAACTAAACATGTCTAGGAGATACGATAGTCGAACGACGATCTTCTCCCCAGAGGGTCGTCTCTACCAAGTTGAGTATGCAATGGAGGCCATTGGAAATGCAGGAAGTGCTATTGGGATTTTGGCCAAAGATGGAGTCGTCTTGGTTGGTGAAAAGAAGGTTACTTCTAAGCTTCTGCAGACCTCAACCTCCACTGAGAAGATGTACAAGATTGACGATCATGTTGCTTGTGCTGTTGCTGGAATCATGTCTGATGCGAACATTTTGATCAATACTGCCAGGCTTCAGGCCCAACGTTACACTTTTAATTACCAGGAGCCTATCCCAGTTGAGCAGCTGGTTCAATCTCTCTGTGATACCAAGCAAGGCTACACACAGTTTGGTGGTCTCAGACCCTTTGGAGTCTCATTCCTTTTTGCTGGTTGGGACAAAAACTATGGATTCCAGCTGTACATGAGTGACCCAAGTGGAAACTATGGTGGCTGGAAGGCTGCAGCCATTGGTGCAAACAACCAAGCAGCTCAGTCCATGCTTAAGCAGGATTACAAGGATGATATCACGAGAGAAGATGCTGTTAATCTGGCACTGAAGGTTCTCAGCAAGACCATGGATAGTACAAGCCTGACATCCGACAAGCTTGAGCTGGCTGAGGTGTACCTCTCTCCATCTGGCAGTGTTAAGTACCAAGTTTGCTCTCCTGATTCACTTAGCAAGCTGTTGGTGAAGTCTGGAGTGACTCAACCTGCTGCCGAGGCTTCATGAAGTGAAAAAGCTAGAAACTCTCTTTTTTTATGCTTGTTTTGTTTCTCACAATGCTATATGCAGGATGAATTATGTCAGAACTTTCTATTTGTTTTAGACTGCAGAACCCATATGAGATACTGTGTTGCTTGAAGTCATTTAACGTTTTGAATCCGTAATGTCCAAGTGCCATGGTTGTGATTTTGCGTGCCTAGAGATAGATGATTCTGCATGGATGCAGTTGTAGGCTTGTAGCAATGAATTTCTACTGGGTTCTACTTGGACGTGGGAAAGTTTTGGTCAGTGGGTAGCCAGTTGGATTTTGCTCTGTTTGTCCTCGGTGATTCTATTTGTTTGGGGTTGGTCTAGTATGCTTTTTGGGTGATTGAAATTTGGCACATAATAACAGAACCAGGGAGGCCACTGGCCAAGGGCCCTTGCCCCGCTAAGAGCAGCCATATACGTGCCATACATTCTAGGAGAGTGATTATCTGAGGAGAGTGATTATCTGAGGACAGAGGAGGGAGAAAAACATTTGGGGTTTGCTTGTTGGATTTGAAAAATGAGGGTTTTGGCCAATAAAAACCTTGGGATTTATGTTGGATTTATTGGATTATGGATTTGAAGAGTCTAATGTTTGCATGATAGATTTGATGATGAATTTGTGATGGATTTGTTAAATAAATAACTAACCATCAAGGATTTGCAAATTCCAAATCAATATGTGGAATTTACAAGTTCACGGGGTCCACGGATTTGGTTCCAAAATAAACACCAAATCCGTGGACCCCACGGATTTAGCACCCTTCAACAAACAATGGACTGTCCATCAAGTTTGGGATTTGGGTACCAAATCCATGACCCAAATCCAACAAGCAAACGACCCCTTGATTTCCAGGAAACTGGATGGATGGTGGTACAGTTTGAGAATGAGGCTTTCTGTAGTAGGTCCACACCTGTTCGCGGAGCCCATTTTATACGGGCAAATTGGTCTCAGGCCCGCATATGCTCGGTTTTGGTATCACCTTTGGTCAATCTCCTCTTACATCATCTTTTTTTTGTGTGTGAAAAGGGTGCTAGCACCACTACCTTAGATTACTTAACCTCGCGGACAACAAATCCGCCAACAGAGTCATAAAAAAGCCAGCGATCAATGTCTGTACTACTCGCATTAAAGGAAATGGAACCCGGGTCTAACAGGTGACCCTGATGAGCAAGACAGTCGACTAAAAAGTTAGCCTCCCTATATATGTGTCGAACAGCAACCTCCCAATCTCTACGAAGGAGCTCCTATAACTCAAGAATGATGCTCGCGTGCTGGTGGGTTGTGGAAGCATTCGGCGACAACAGGCTGACCGTCGTGGAGGAGTCCAGGTGAAGCTCGACTTTGCGTTGACCTGTATCCCACGCCATCTGCAGCCCTTGAAGGGCGCCCCCAAAGTTCTGCCCGAGTAATGGTACATCTTCCCAGATTTATTGAGAAAGCCCCTAATAAGCGACCCTGCCCGTCTCTAAGTGTGCCTCCTGCAGCGGTTGACCCTGACGGTCTCAGGAGAGACCCATCAGAGTTCATTGCGATCCATCCTGTCGGGGCTGGTCTCCACCCAACAACCATGTCTCGACTCAACCCCGACCTCCCTAGTGAAATAGTGTGTTCCGCTGCTTTACTCCTCCGCGCGGTGACCTCCTAGGCGAGAATCCTTTGCGTTAACTTACTAGGGGATTCCTCAATGGCTGAAAAGACATAATCATTTCTCGAGCGCCATAAGAACCAACAGGTTATGCCGAATCTTACCTGCTGCGTGGGACTCCGAATGAAGTGCATGAACCAGGTCTTCATCTCTCTATGGTCTGTCGGGTCCGCTGCCGCCGGGAGGGCCTGCCTCCAGACATGTTGCGCATAAGTACACGTACGCGCGGTATGTTCCAAGGTCTCCCTGCCCATCTTGCAACGAGGACAAGTGGTAGTGGTTGTGAGATGGCGTCGTTGCTGCTCGGAATTGGTGAGGAGAGCTCCATGCGCCGCTAGCCAGAGAAAGTGGCGCACCCTGTTGTGTCCCGGCCAGCTCCACAAGTCGCGCCATTCTTGTTGTTCGTCCGCCCCGTCCACCTCCGCAGCGAGCTGGTATGCTGAGCGAAGGGTAAAATTCCCCTTCTCCTCCAGTCCCCAAACAATGGCGTCATCTCCCAGGCTAGCTTTCGGCGGTGGTGTGCCAACAACCCGCAAGAGAAAATCGTGGGTTAAGTATTGTTCAATGAGAGCCAAATTCCACTCACCTTCTGAGATTGTCATGTGGGCAACTGTTGCCTCTCCCGAGAAGCCCGGTTTAGTCCTCCAAGCATAATCCGCCAGCGCCACGCCGCTGTCTAGCCATCGATTCTGCCAAAACAACGTCGTTTTACCATCCCGAACGCTCCAGCTTACTCCTTCAAGCATCAGACCCCAGACCTGCCGGATCCCGCGCCACAGCTGGGAGCATCTCGTTTTTCTTCTGATCTAAACTCCCATCGGCCCTTCCTTGAGGTACTTCTCCTTAAGAACACGAACCCACATCTCCGTTGGTTGTTTCAGAACAGTCCAAGCAAGTTTCAGGAAATACGCCTTGTTCAACTCCCGAGCCATTCGAAGTCCCAGGCCTCCCTGGTTCTTGGGTAAGCACAGCTTCTCCCAGCTGACGAGGTGCATTCGACGGGGGCCTTGTTGTGACCCCCAAACGAAAGCCCTTATCTTGCGATCGATGTAATCACAAATCCCAGCAGGTTGAACTGCAGTCTGCATGACATACGACAGTATGGCATTGAGGACTGATAATGCTAGTGTTACCCGACCAGCAAGGGATAGATTTTCAGCTCTCCAACCAGCCAGCTTCTGGTCGATTTTGTCAACGATGTACTGGTATGTCTGTTTGGTTACTCGATCGTGAAGTACCGGCACGCCCAAGTATCTCCTCAGGTCTTGCGTCATTGGTACAACAAGTACATCACTTATCTCCTTGTAGAGCCTACGATCCAGGTGCTTGGAAAAGAAAACCCAGGATTTGTCCTTTCTAATTAACCAGCTCTCCCGATCATGCGCAGGAAGATCTCAGGCAATTCATCACAATTTCCGCCTACTCTACATTAGCTTCTGCGAATAAGACTAGATCATCTGCAAAAAAAAGATGGGTGAGCTCCACTCCTCCTTTAACGAGTTGTAGCGGCTTCCATTCCTTTCCTGCAACCAACTCGAGAATCATATGAGATAGCCTCTTAATGCAAAGGGTGAAAATATATGGGGAAAGGGGGCATCCTTGGCGTAATCCTCTCGTCGGGCGAAAAGGTTCTGTACAAGCACCATCCCACAACACCTCGAAAGAGGGAGATGCAATGCACGCCATTACCGCCTGGTTGAATTTGTTCGGTAGCCCCGCTGCCACAAGAGTGCTCGCTACGAAGCTCCAATCCAGACGGTCGTAAGCTTTAGCTAGATCAATCTTGAGAACCATATGACCGCGTTTTCTTTCCGGGTTTGCATCGTGTGTACCACCTCTTGCAGAATAATGATGTTACTTTGGATGATGCGCCTTGGAACGAAACTAGTCTGCGTAGGCTTGACCAGCAACGACATAAGAGGCTTGAGCCTGTTCGCCAAGCACTTGGTAAATGCTTTGTAGGACACATTGCAAAGACTAATGGGTCTGAATTCTGCCACCGACGATGGGTTTTGTTTCTTGGGAATGAGCGTGATAAGAGTCTCATTCACCGCTGAAACCATACCCGGGTTGCGGAAGCACTACACTAGGAATTCCGAGAGAGTCGGACCCACCGTATCCTAGCATTTCTGAAAAAACAAAGGGTGATACCCATCTTTGCCTGGCGCTTTATGCGGCCCCATCGACTTGATTGCAACAAGCACTTCCATAGCATTAATATCCATCTCCAGCGTTGTCACCGAGGCTTCCAACTGCGGGAATTTCGCCGGCAGCAGGTCGCGCGTGGCTGGGTCCTTCGTGTAGAGGCTCTCAAAGAAATCCCTGACCAAACTATGTAGTTTGCCGATATCCTCCACCCAATCACCATCACTGTTTTTTAGCTTTCAGATCCTGTTGAAACAACGTCGCCTTAGGGTTGACAGATGGAAATACCTGTTGTTGCTGTCGCCGAGGTTAAACCATTGTGCCCGGGACTTTTGGAACCAGAGGACCTCTTCCTGTTTGAGTACTATTTGGAGATTCTGTCTTGTGGTGGCCTCCTCTACCATGCTCTCTCGGGACGGGTGGTTCTCATTTATGATTTCTAACTCCTGTAAGCGCCTGAGAAGTTTGCGTTTCCTGGCAAAAATATGACTAAAAACTTTTTTATTCCAGTCACCCAACTCCTTCGTTAGACTCTCAATTCTGGCACCATAATTACCACCCTTGTCCCAGCCTTCATGCAGTACTCGATCGAAATCATTATGTGATATCCATGGGGTGAGGAAGCGGAACAGTTTCTGTAGTTTAGCTCGTGACCTCGGTCTCTCCGTCATGGTGAAGATTGGTCGGTGATCTGACTTTACTTTCGGCAGGTGAGTCGTACTCGTATCAGGGAATCACTGTAGTCACTCGGTATTACATACTGCTCTATCAAGCCGCTCCTTGAGACCTCTCGGCCCACTCCAGGTGAAACCAGGACCCGTGAAAGGGATGTCAACAAGGCCGCAATCCTCCATTGTTGCCCGAAACTCTCGACTGACAGCAAAGTTGAAGCCAGCGCCACCTTGCTTATCAGTTTGGCTTAGGAGAGCATTAAAATCACCTATCATCATCATTGGTTCCGTGGTACTCCCTACCACTCTCCGAATTGTCTCCCATAAGTCACGACGGGTACTTAGTTGAGGCGACCCGTAGACGCCTGCTATCAGCCATTCTTCCCCATTACCGCTCTTGAAGCGTAGGAGTACCAGCTGGTCAGTGGACTCCTCCACGCAAATCATGATATTACTCGAGTTCCAGAGTGCCCAAATACCTCCCGCAAATCCACGGGCCTCCATCCTACTATCCTTTTCAAACCCCATACCCCGCACTACCTTGTCTGCAACAGTACCGCTGATCCTAGGTTCGAAAATGAAAAAAATGTCAGGTCGATAAATTCTATTAAACTCCCGAAAATGAGTAAGAAAATTGGGGTCCGCTGCCCCGCGACAATTCCAAGCAAAAACACTAACCATGCGAAGGGTAAATAAGAGCAAACTACAAGACATTAACGACAAAGCAAATCAAACACACAAAACTTCCCTTGGTGAGAAGTTCAGGTTGAGGACACATCCATCCCACTCTTGGTGTTATCCCCACGAGTTGAGATGGTTTCTTTTTCTCCCAGAGCCTGTGCTCTCCTCTGCAAATTCACATCAGCATTCAGGTCCAAGCTTCGAGCTAGTGGTTTCCCATATTTAGGGCTGGTGGCATCCTTGCTAGTTGGAGCCCCCTTCTCCACGTCAGCCCCTTGCTTGTGTCCTTTCTGCTTTGGGGTGGGTGATTGCTTGCTGCCGCCTTCCACGTGTTTCGGGCCATCCGCGGGTGTCTTGGGTACAATCAGTTTGCTCTGAGAGCTCCCGCTGCCACCCTGCTTCGGTACATACAATGTATTTTTGTGGGTCGCGGTCGCTCCTCTTTGGCCCTTTTGTGCCATCCTACCCATTGGCTGGGTACGTGCTTCCCCCTTGCTAGACTTTTCTTGCTCCAATCTTTGTTTTGCCAAGTGTCCTCTAACTTCCCGACCGCTACCAATCTTTGCCTGCTCCTGGACCTCCTTATCATCCCCGCCCAAGTCCGCATCTCCATCCAATTCCTCTTTCACTTTCTTGCTAGCAACCTCTAGAACCCTCGGCTCCTCGCGAAGTTCGTCATTCAAGTCGTCAAGGACAGAGAACCTTGACCCTGCCCAGTTAGACACATTGTCTGAGCTCAATTGTGCTAGCGGTTGTTGGGGTCGGTTCGTCTTGGCGCCACGCCTCTTCCTGTTGCTTGTTGCTATCATCCACGGCCCAAATTCTTGAAAGATTTCCGGTCGCTCATGTTCGATTGTGACCTTCTGGGTCGGGATATGGGATGTTCGAAAGTCCTCCTCTGTTGGAGTTTCCATAGTCTTCTTCTGGCATGTCTCCTGTTCGTGTCCATAGCGGTCGCATGTTAAACACACCTTATGGAACCCTTCATATTCAACCCTCCTAGTTCTTCTCTCCAGCCTATACTTGCATATCAGCGGCTTAGCAAGATTTACCTCGACACAAAATCCTTGCGAAGTGACCTCTGATTGCTAGCCGCGTTGCTTCGTCCATCTTTACGTATATGCCGATCAAGTTACCAATGTTCTTGAGAAGCTCCTCATCGTAATAGTCCATAGGGAGCTTGGGAAGACGTGCCCAAACGAGAGTCTGAGTCAATTCCTCTTCCTCCGGTTCGAAGCCTCGACGCCATGTTCTCGTAAGGACATAATGATCTTCAATCATCCAAGGTCCTCTGGTTAGGGCCCTCTCGTAGTCATGCTCAGTGGTGAACCTGGCCGAGAAGAAGCCTTTCCCCATTGTAGTGATCGTGATCGGGCCAGTGCATGCCCACATACTTTGTAGACGTCGCTATAACACCCTAACCCGCCCGGGTACTACTGTTACCAAAATACCCTTTTATAAACCATGAAATAAATAACAACTGAAATACTTTGGAAAATAGCAAAACTTTTCATAAATAACTTTAAAAAATTCTGAGAATAAACTGTAATTTCTTAAAACAAAGCCCTAACACTTGGGCGAACCTGAAACATAAAATCTTAATATAAATCTCCAGTCTATACTCATAATCATAAAATGAAATAACTAAGAAGTCCCTAATGCTGCCGCCTATTGAAACCTTGACTAGGCATCCCCCGTGAAGTGTGAACCGTCCTCCTCTAGCTGGCTTGTCTCGAACAGTTCTCTCGATCTCGCTGCTCTCTAACTGCTCCTCTAACTAGATGCTATCGAGCTTGTTCTCGCTCATTCCTTTACTAAGCCCTGATGAGTGAGATGGGGTCAGTCTACGCCCTTACGTTTAACTCTTAAAAATGTATGGGAGTAACTATTTCTCTCCATTCTTAAAGCTCAAATCTTGACTTAAACTTTTGACTGACACGGGGATCCCTCACTAGCTAGTCTGGTTTCCCAACTCATACGTATGAGAAGCCATCCAGGCTTTCCTTAAACTTAAACTTATCATGGAAGGCTCTTCTTCCACGATTCTCAAGAGCATAACTGCTACTCATCTTAAAAATCTCAAGAGCATACCTGCTACTCAACTTAAATATCTCAAGAGCATATAACTGCTGCTCTGTCTCAAAGATCTCAAGAGCATAACTGCTGCTCTATCTGAAAATCTCAAATGGCAACGGACTGGCGCTAGTGACTGAAAACACTTAAAACGACTTCACCTTCTTAAAGGTGAGTTACTTCTTAAAAACTACTTGTTTCTTAAACTTGAACTTACTTGTAAATAAAGCATGCAATAACATACAACTGAAAGCATATTCACACAAACTCACATGGCATCATAGAAACACACAAAGGCAGGTATGACACATAACAATGAATCTCAAAAACTCAAATAACGTAAGGCGTAGAGTTTACCCCCTTTACACTCACCTCGTTAATGAAACGACTTAGATTGGTCTGACGAGAAACCATGCTTTATACCATTAGTGGTCTGATATTTCAATCCATCCATCAGAATTCTCTTCCTATCATCCATCTCGTAAAATATAACCTTTACACCCTGACTATAACCAAATTAAGTCAAGCCTCTACTTTCCTCTTCAAAATTCATCCATAAACACTAAATATTTCCACACAAACAAAAACCCAATCACACGTTTCCATCATCGGGTAATCCACCTCACCTCCAAAACTATTGGAACCAAAAACCTTTCCCCATCACCGTTCCACAATGACGGAAGCAATAGTTATCATCAATTCAATAGAAAGAGGCTGTACGTACCTCCTTTTGTCCATTGCATCGACCAACAACTGCTATTGCTCCCTCCACAATTCGCCAGCAACTCCTAAGCCTCCTGGATCGTTGTTGATTCGTCTTCGTTGATATGGCCCGACGGTTGCTTAGTTACTTGCACCGATCACTAATCCCATTTCGATTGTTATGTCCACAACTAATCATGTGATCATTATTGGCCACTTTTTTTAATTGGAAACTCACAGCAAGCTCCCACGTCATTGTTCAAAATTCAAATATAACCAATTCTTAACACCAATTTGTCATTCCCTTCGTCATCTTCGTCATCACTAGGGGGGCACAAGGACAAGTCGTATCGAAGAAGCCTTGACCCTTCTCCCAATCAGCACCGCCTGGAAGACTTCATCATAATCGCTCGGAGCTCCCTAACCTTGCCGCTGACGCTCTGTGATGGAGCTAAAGATGAATGATGTGTGGCGGAGGTGGGTTTTCCCCCGTGAGTTAAGGGGCGAGAGGGAGATAGAGAGGGTTTGGCTAGCGGCTGCCTGGGATTAGTTTTAGGGTGAGTCACTTGTGTGCCCTTTTATTTCTTCTCATGTGATATATATATATATGAAATGGAGTGGACGAGTATGGGGAACGGTTGGGTTAGGTTTAGGGTTTCAAGGGTATTTTTGAAACTTCACAATTACGGTTGAGTTTGACCCGAAACTCAGATAATGTACGTAACTTACTTATTTTATGTCAAAAATCGACACTGTTTGAATCGATAGTTCACATTTTTAATCCTCATCGATATTACGGTAAAAATTAACAACTTGACTCAAGGGTATAATAACCATTTTGACTTTTAGGGAGAGCAGGGTGTAACATTTCCTCCACCCTTATAAATATTGTCCACGAAATTTGATCGGACTCATACTTCCATTCTCCTCATCCTTGTGCTTCCTTAGCTCAAGAATTCACTCTTGCTATATGAACTTCAGTGATGTCCTTTGCTTGTCCCGTATAGTCTCTCTCACTTCTTATATTTCTTCTTTACCATAAAAGGTATTCTCCCAAGCTCGTTCGCATCGAGTAGCTTTGAGTGGCTACTTGCCCCTTTTAAAATTTCCAACTTGGGTCCAGGGTGTGATGGGATAAAATTTCGGCTCAATTTATTGCTACAACTGATTTGGTACTTGATGTTGAACCTTAATCGAAGTCTAGGTATCACAGCCGTTGCAGGAACAAAAATGGGAAAGAGTGCCCCAGGATACGGACAACTAGGGCAAGCCGCCACCGCTGGCTGCGACGTTTGTAGAAGCCTTGCGGGATCTTCACTTTTGGGCAATCGAGCTCACCTTCCCCGTCATTATCCATCATGTCTATTTCCGTCTCGTCAACCGTGGGATCCTCCCTTTCCGATGAGCCGCCGAGAACCTTGTCTTTGTAAGACTGAGATTGAATCTTAGTTGTTCCATGTTCCTCATTAGGAATAGCTTAGACAGGAGGTTTCCCCATCTCGTTCACCATTGACTGTTGCCCGATTATTTGTGTCGATGTTTCTACCATCATGGCTCCTTCTCTTGTGAAACCCCCTTCCTCCACAGTTTTCGACCGCTTGTCCGTTTAGACAGGAGAGGATACAAGGTCATGCGCTGGGGTCGCTATGGGGAGGTTAGGCGCGGCGGAGGGTCCCCGCCGGCGGTGCTCATCGCTTTTTGTTGACGGCTCCTAGTGTTGGGGATGCTCGCGCAGACTCCGCAAAACTCGGAGAAGCTTGTTCCTCTTACATCATCTGGTTCCGCTAAGTTGATCTAAAAAGCGCGGTGTCGCGAGAATAGCAGATCTCCTTTGCGGCCACATCGTTAGGGTTAGAGGTGCGCCATGATCGCCGCCGGGAATCAGCCGCCGGGAACCAGCGCGTCAGCTGAACAAATCACCGACATCATCGTCCGGTGCAACAATCGAAGCGGTCGAAGAAGGCGATGACACATGATTCACGGGACAGAGGCCAATAGCGGTGGAGCAAGACACGAGAGTGTTCCAAGAACCTTCAGTTGAACCACAGTTGACCCAGTTGGGTGTGGGGGTAAACGCCTCGGGGATTTTGGGTACCAAGACAGCGCCGCAGCTCGGCTCTACAAGGACAGTTGCATTATCCTACAAAGGGAAGATGATGGGGATACCTGCACGACTTAATAACAATGATGAAGTGAGGGATCCGACGGAGATGGATAGTGATGAGGAGGACGAACCAGAATGCCCTAAGGTTTGCTTTCCCCAATGTTTTAATAGCCGGAGGAGCTGCCACTGAGTACAACCATTATCGTACGAGTATTGGTACATTATTTCCCGTTCCTATTCCTCCAGCGACAGCTACTAAATATGTGGGCAAGGACGGGGTCAATCACCATAGCTGCGATGGGACAAGGTTTGTACTCGGTGAAATTCACGACGAAACAGGATTACGACAGAGCGCTTAATGAGGGGCCTTGGATGGTTGAGGATCACTACATTCTCACCAGGCCTTGGAGGAGAGCGTTTGAACTGGGGGATAAGGAGCTCTCTCGTACCATGGTGTGGGTCAGGATCCCTAAAATGCCTATGGATTACTACGACAAGAGCTCCTCCATAACATTGGTATTTCAATATGTACTTATATCAAAATGGATGAGCCTACAAGGTTAGCCACAAGAGGCCACTTTGCCAGGATTTGTGTGGAAGTTGATTTGGCCAAGCCTTTGGTCTGCAAGTACAAGCTAGAACGACGTTCCAAACGTGTCGAAGTTAGAGGCGGTTCAAGGTTTGTTATGAGTGCGGACGATATGGCCACGAGTTGAGTGCATGCCTACGAAACAAATGGAGAAACCAACCGAGGAAGATTTGCGAGAGGCACGAGCCTTCGCTGACACCACCACCGTTGAACAAGAGAGGCCGGAATTTTTTCAGGATTACGGCCTGTGGATGATAGCAACGAGCAATCGTCGGCGAAGAGCAGAAGCAGCTGCCGCCAAAAGGGGAAACTGGGGTCCAAAGCGTCAATGCAAAGGATGT